ACACGTTCGCGACAATGCTACGTACGCTTCGACCGGGTGGGTCCCAGCTGTCAGGGAGGATAAGGATGCACTTCCTTGCGTGCGAAGATATAGCTGGTGGGTCCCAACTGTCAGGGGGAGGAATCATTTTTATTTTGCGAGTAATAAGGAGGCACTTCCATGGTTTCGAAGATGTAGCTGGTGGGTCCAGTTGTCAGACTCACAGCCTAAAGTCCACTTCTGATGGCTGTCGTTCGTTGACCTCGTTGATCAGGAGGCGCTGAGAGCATCAAGGCAGTGGACGACGGCGAGGCCTAGGAAGGGAACAACGAGGAGCCAAAGAAGACGAGGTGGATGGATGCCCACGCGGAGGGGAGTACGAGAGTTCACTGGTTTGGCTTTGGCGTAAGGCCGACATCGCCGGAGAATAACAGGGGGTGTGGGTGAGTAGAGGGAAGGTCAGGCCAGTCGTAGTATAGTCGGTCCTCGAGGCCTGCGTGGCAGCACAGCCGGCCATGGGAGGCTGGAGTAGGCGGTACGGCGGGCCTGGTTTGGGCGGCTCGAGCAAGAAGACCAGAGGTTGAAGACGCAACACGACCGTTGATTTAACATCCAAAAGTCAGTGCAGCTAAAATCATTTTGACTAAGTTGACAAGCCCATACGCGTCAACTTAGTTGGCCCCAAACTCAGCCTCCAAATCTGGTGGGTCCAAGCTAGCCAGGGGAATCATTTTTTTGCTCGTAATAAGGTGGCACTTCCTTGAGTGCGAAGATGTTCTCTAGGTCTTTTAATTTCTTCTTTTTCGAGTTAGAATAAAAAGAAAATAATTTAGCATCTTTGGTACAATCTATATTTTTGTGAAATGGATCATAATAAAGCTGGTGGGTCCCAACTTTCAGGGAGAGGTAACTTTTTTTGACGTAATAAAGGAAACACTTCCCTGCATGCAAAGATGTAGCTGGTGGCTCAAACCTGTCAGGGGGAGAAATCATTTGTTTTCTTATAATAAGGAGGGACTTGCTCGTGTGCGGCCATGGGCCATGCAGGTCCCTACTGTCAGCCACTCCATGTTCATGCCTCTTCCAATGGCTGTCGTTTGTTGATAAAGTTGACCATGCTCCGCCGAGTGAACCAGTGCGGTGGACGATGGCGAGGCCTAGGAAGGGAATGACCCGGAGCCGGCGAAGACACAATAGTGGATGCCCACGCGGAGGGGAGTATGAGGGTTCACTGGTTTGGCAGCTGTGTGAGGTTGTCTTCTGATAACCCACAAGTATAGGGGATCGCAACAGTTTTTGAGGGTAGAGTATTCAACCCAAATTCATTGATTCGACACAAGGGGAGCCAAGGAATATTCTCGCGTATTAGCTGCTGAGTTGTCAATTCAACCACACCTGAAAGACTTAATATCTGCAGCAAAGTATTTAGTAGCAATGTAGTATGGAAGTAATGGTAACGATGGCAAAAGTAACCGTAGCAATTTTGTAACAATTCTAACAGCGGCAATGAAAAAGTAACTTGGCAGAGATCAATATTAAACGAACTCGTAGGCAATGGATCAGTGATGGATAATTATGTAAGATGGCATTCATCATGCAACAGTTATAACCTAGGGTGACACAGAACTAGCTCCAATTCATCAATATAATGTAGGCATGTATTCCATATATAGTCATACGTGCTTATGGAAATGAACTTGCATGACATCTTTTCTCCTACCCTCCTGTGGCAGCGGGGTCCTAATGGAAACTAAGGTATATTAAGGCCTCCTTTTAATAGAGAACTGGAACAAAGCATTAGCACTTAGTGAATATATGACCTCCTCAAACTATGGTAATCACCGGAAAGAATCCCAATTATTGTCACCTTGGGGTATGCGGATCATAACTCGTAATAGGTGTCTACAACTTGCAAGATCGGATCAAGAACACAAATATATACATGAAAACATAATAGGTTCAGATCTGAAATCATGGCACTCGGGCCCTAGTGACTAGCATTAAGCATAGCAAAGTCATAGCAACATCAATCTCAGAACATAGTGGATACTAGGGATCAAACCTTAACATAACTAACTCGATTACATGATAAATCTCATGCAACCCACCACCGTTCAGCAAGCCTACGATGGAATTACTCACGCACGACGGTCAGCATCATGAAATTGGTGATGGAGGAAGGTTGGTGATGATGATGGCGACGATTTCCCCTCTCCGGAGCCCCGAACGGACTCCAGATAATGACCTCTCAATGAAGAACAGGGGGTGATGGCGGCTCCGTATCGTAAAACGCGATCAATCCTTCTCTCTAATTTTTTTCTCCCTGAACGTGAATATCTGGAGTTGGAGTTGAGGTCGGTGGAGGTCCAGGGGGCCCACAAGGCAGGGGGGTGTGCCCTCCACCCTTGTGGCCAGTAGGTGGGTCCCCCTCTGTTGATTCTTTCGCCAATATTTTTTATATATTCCAAAAATATTCTCCATGGATTTTCAGGTCATTCTGAGAACTTTTATTTCTGCACAAAAATAACACCAAGGCAATTCTGTTGAAAATAGCACCAGTCCGGGTTAGTTCCATTCGAATCATGCAAATTAGAGTCCAAAACAAGGGCAAAAGAGTTTGGAAAAGTAGATACGATGGAGAGGTATTAACTCCCCAAAGCTTAACCCATTGCTTGTCCTTAAGCAATTCAATTGACAAACTAAAAGTGATAAAGAAAATTTTTTACAAACTCTGGTTGATCTTGTTGTTGCAAATATGTATAGCCAGCATTCAGGTTTTCAGCAAATATTATGAACTAACCATATTCACAGTAACACTTAGGTCTCACATTTACTCATATCAATGGCATAATCAATTAGCGAGTAATAATAATAAATCTCAAATGACGTCACGTTCTCAAAACAATCATGATATGATATAACAAAATGGTATCTCGCTAGCCCCTTTCTGAGACTGCAAAACATAAATGCATATCACCCCTGAAGATGAAGGACTGACTAGACATTGTAATTCATGGCAAAAGAGATCCAATCACAGTCATACTCAATATCAACTAATAACAAAGCATATAAATGACGGTGGTGCTGTCTAACTGGTGCTTTTTATAAGAGGATGATGACTCAGCAATAAAAGTAAATAGATATGCCCTTCGCAGAGGGAAGCAGGGATTTGCAGAGGTGTCAGAGCTCGAGCTTTTGAAATACAGATGAATAATATTTTGAGCGGTATGCTTTCATTGTCAACATAACAACCAGGAGATATTGGTATCTTCCATACTAGATACATTATAGGCGGTTCCCAAACAGAATGGTAAACATTTTACCCCCCTCCACCAACAAGCACATTGCATGGCTGGTCCGAAACAATGGGTACCGTCCAACTAACAACAATCCTGGGGGAGCTTTGTTCAAAGTTATATTCTGATTTGATTTGAGCACAGAACTGGGCATCCCAGATACCAGCCACTTTCTCGTGAATGATGAGCGGAGTCCACTCATCGTGAGAATAACCCACCTAGCATGGAAGATACTGACAGCCCCCGGACGCTACATAAGTGATTTGGGCATACAAAACATATTATTATTTGAAGGTTTAGAGTTTGGCACATGCAAATTTACTTGGAACGGCGGGTAAATACTGCATATAGGTCGGTATGGTGGACTCATATGGAACAACTTTTGGTTTATGGAAGTGGATACACTAGCAGTATTCCCGCTTAGTACAGGTGAAGGCTAGCAAAAAATTGAGGGGCGACCAACTAGAAAGCGACAACAATCATAAACATGCATTGAGATTAACCAACATTGAGTGTAAGCATGAGTAGGATATAAATCACCATGAACATAAATATCGTGGAAGCTATGTTGATTTTGTTTCAACTACATGCATGAACATGTGCCAAGTCAAGCCATTTAAATCCTTCAAATGAGGATACCATCCTATCATACTACATCACAATCATTTTAAAAGCATGTTGGCACATGAGGTAAACCATTAAAACTCCTAGCTAATTAAGCATGGCATGGGAAACTATAATCTCTAATTGTCATTGCAAACACGTTTCATTCATAATGAGCTAAATCAAGAACGATTAACTAATCATATTTACAAAAACAAGATAGGTCGAGTTCATACCAAATTTTCCTCATCTCAATCATTTCATCATATATCGTCATTATTACCTTTCACTTGCACGACCGAAAGGTGTGGATAATAATAATAGTGCACGTGCATTGGACTACACTGGAATCTGCAAACATTTATTCAATGGAGAAGACAAGGTAATATGGGCTCTTTGTTAGATCAACAATAATGCATATAATAGTCACTCATCATTTTCATCATGGTCTTCTCCTCTCGACCCAAGCCTAAATATCAAGTGCTTTCATGGGCCGCCAAGCCATTGAGTTAACCTTTTACACCTTGTAAGCCGGGCCTCACATGACAAATCGCCGTTCAAATATTGGGAAGTTTAGGGTCTATAAGATTGATTGTCAAGAGTTCGGCGGGTCATTCCAGGATTACCTAGGCGGAGTGGCAGAATCTACAAAGCAGGATAACCCAGAAATTTTGGTGAATACACCTGGCATTCCAAGCTAATTAAAACGTTATGTCCTCTTTGGTGAATAGACCTATGTTTGAACAGGATAACACGGAAACTTTGATGAATACACCTGGTGTTCCAAGCCAATCAAGAGGGTAGTAATGCTATGTTCTCTTTGATGAATACAGGTATGTTTGAACAGGAAGCCCCCAAGTCATTATACAGCCCAGCCTATAAGCCGGATCAAAGGGTAGTCATAGCTATGCTCAGTAAGCAGGAAGCCCCCATGTAATTTGTAACGGGGTGTATAAGCCGGATCAAAGGGTAGTCACAGCTATGCTCAATGAGCAGGAAGCCCCAAAATAACCAATACTGTGATAAGCCAATAAGGCAAGATATCCATGTGTGAACTGTGCATCATGGCATCATGGTGGCGTGGGGTGCGGCCGTTGACCACACTGGTGGCGCCCGCTCAACATGCGATGGCAGGAGCAGCAGCTCGGTGACTCCAACGAGCCATGGGCGGCGGACCCTGAAGGTAGGGCCGACGAAGACGGCAGCAACGGGCGAGGGGCACCTGCCAGACTACAGGCACCTTGCGGGCGGCAGCGCGAGGCAGCAGCGGCGACTCATGGCCAGTTGGCCCAGCGGCTTGTAGTGGTGGCTCAAGGCCGTTTGGCAAGGATGCCTGCAATGGCGGCTCAAGGCCGGTCGGCGCGGGGTGGCTCTCCGCAAGGGTAAAACGACAGCGGAAGCTCGAGGCACTGTGTGGCTCAACAAGGCGGCCCAGGGCCGGCCAAATCTTGTCTGGCGACTTGGCAAAGAATACACGATGGCTGCAGCTACTTGGCAGCACGGTGGCTTGAGCAGAGAAGCAGAGAAAAGCCGGGGGTCGTGGCTGAGCCAACGTCGGAGTACAGCAGCTAGCGGGCACTGGCGGGTCCATGGCAAAGGCGAGCCGGGCGGCTCAACGCGGCGACGGTGGAGGCGACTCTCAGGCGATGGCGACTCGCGGCCGAAACCGAGGCGGATTGGTGTTAGGGAAGAGATTGACAACTCAGTGGAGGCAGAAGAACTACCGCGAAGGCCACTGCACGGCCATGGCGGCTCAGCCGCGGTGGAGACTAGGCAACGACTCAACGGAGGCGGACGAGACAGGCGACTTGACGCAGCCACACAACTCAGCGACGAAAACAAGAAGATGACTTGAGGTGGCTTGGCCGCAACGGCCGGTGGTTTGGAGACGCGAACCGGTGACAGCGGAGGTGCGGTGGGTCAACGAGCCAGGTCACAGGTGAAGGCGGCTCGACCGCAGGCCGTTACAACGGCTTTAGACGGGGCCACCAAGGCGGAGGCTCGCCGGTGGCTCCAGGCAGAAGCAGCAGACAACTTGGAGTCTGGGCGGAGGTGAGTCATAGACCGCGGAGGAGTCCGGTTCGCTGCCCTCTTCGTCTCCGGGTCGTGGCCCCTGGATAACCCCCTTTTTTCCTTTTCTCTTTTAAAACAGCGCATGTGCTTACGTCCTTGCATGCAGGAGCACTGCCAGCCGTTGATTGCTGATTTCCTTTTGTAATGACGTGTAGAGCAATAACACAAACATAGTACCTTGGCAGATTGAACCTCTCGCAGCCTCGGGACTCGCTCATCTGCGTCGCACTTGGACCAGGGGAGATGCAGTAGCAGTCGGATGAGGCCGCCGTTCAGATTTGATATTGCAGCGGAAATTTTTGGCAATCTCGACTCGGCGATTTGACCGCTCGCCAGGCGCATGTTACGCCACGAATTTTTTTTCTTGTATTCTTGTCGGCCTCAGTGACTTGATTCTTGCACCGATTGATCTCACGCACGTCTTCAACCCTAATTTCTCTTTGATCCTTGTACTACCAGCTTCAAAGCTAACCACAATTCCGATCACAATTGTTGGCTCTTCCACACTTTGACAAAGCGCAAGCGGCTCGACACCCTAGGAAAGATCCCTCCAAGAACTCAACACCACCGTGCGCAGGCCCCATGGTAGGCACCAACTATCGTGGATTTGTCATGGCAGATGTCCTTAGTGCCAGGAATTGGTCATGAGGCCAACACATCTATGTGGTAGCTTCAGAGGGGTTGAGTGGGAAGAGAGACATGAGGTTTTACCCAGGTTCGGCCCCTGATGGTGGAGGTAAAAGCCTACATCCTGCTTCATTGATATTGATGATGGTGATGATCACGATTACAAGGGTGCTCTATCTTGAGAGTTATAGACTTGTCTGTCTAACCCTAACTTGTCAAACTCATGAAACTTGTCCCTCTTTTGGTACCCTGCCCCTCCTTATATAAGATGAAGGGGCGAGTTACATGACTAGTCCTAATAGGATTAGGATTACCCTATTACAAGTGGAGTCCTAGTCTTTCTTCCTTTGTAAGGGAATATTCCTTATGCTTTCCTGTTAAGCCGGCCCGCCATAATACGAGTCGGTCTTCCATGAGCCGCCTTGTAGGCCACCGGGTCTTGTTGCTCCTCTGACCCGCCTGCCGAGTCACTAGGCCTGGCTGGATCATCAATGAGTGGAGAGATCCGGGCAGGTCACTTAATGAGCCGTCAAGTTAGGGTGGGTCACTAGTGAATCGCCAAGTCTGGTCGGGTCATATTTGCAGCCGGGTCATACCGCGGGGTATATCCCCAACATTAACCCCTAGTTTAATTTGGATTTATCTATGTTAAACTAATCCTGCAAAATAAACACAAGAACAAATTTGACAGGTTGTGCTCCAGGTTAAAAAATTCTTGTAAGCCGGATCCCGATCATCCTTAAGTCCTTGTCATTTCCTTCTTCTAGTATGTTCGGGTCAATAAGCCAGCCTCATAATCAATTTGCTGACATTAGTTTCTCACATAAAAATATTGTTAAGAATAATTCATTTGATTCAGCTCCCAATGTTTAACAAAAAATATTAGTCTTGAAATACTCATCTGATTTTCAGCCAGCTTGAAGATGTAGAACTTGCCGGTTATGATTTCCAAAATCACCAGGTTATAAAAACTGATGATTTCGGGTCATGACTGTTATAGACACCGGGTCATGATTGTTGCCAACGCCGGGTCACACAGTTGATCTTCCTGATTTGCTCAAAACTGAGAATTTGAGGACGTTCCTCCTTTATATGCATATTACCTGTAGCCCCCATGTCTTAAGAGGAGATCATAGTGATAGCTTAAGACTTGCTTTAATATAAATGCTCCAACTTGGAGAAATCTGGGTTGTTCATGTAAGCCGCCAATCATATGCTGCACATTTTGAACTTCCCATGTGTAGCCCCCCAAGTGTCGGGTCATTATGCAATAATGAGCAGGGACTTTGTAAATATGATCATGTAGACTTGAGCAGCAACGTGTAGTCCCCCAGGGCCGGCTCAATAAGATAATACTGAGCTGGGACTTTATATATACTTCAATGAAAATAACAACATATGATGTAGCCTCCATCGTAGGGCTTAAACCCACGACCACAAGGTTAAGAGTCTTGTGCTCTACCAACTGAGCAATGGACCCTTCAATATAATGGATTAAAGCTTGTGTACTTTGAATTTTTGATAAGAGCAATTAGTAGCCCCCAAGGGCCGGCTCATTACAATGTGTTGAGTCGGGTCTTCAATAAGGTGAGCAAAAAATGACTTTGCATTAGCCCCCAAGTGTCATGGTGCATGCTTGCAACGACATGGGACTTCCATATTTGATATAATCATGATTTGAGTAATGTAGCCCCCAAGTGCCGGGTCGTAAGCCTGGAGCGACTAGGGACTATTCCTTCCATTATAGAATAAATCATATCCATTGATAAAGAAATAATAGCCATTGCATTGAAGCGACTTTAAAAACCTCAATCAATCAATATCATCATGAAAACCCAGCCAAGTTTGTCTATTAAAGATTTAAATACCTTATCTGTTGACAAGTAAATCCGGAGTTTAAATACCCGGCAGCTCTTGGCCAATGCGACTTAATACGCATCCATTGTAATCCGGGATTTTTCTAACCCGGCGGCTTATAATCTTTGTAGAAATTCAGAACTGATAATCCTTTTGAAACATCAATTTGAACCTTTGATGATGGGCTTGAACTTAATCATTTATGTAAGCCATAGCTCTCCATGTTCTGCACAAAGTTTAAACAACATATGCCCTAGCGACTTATCGTCAAAAGCCAGGGTGGATAACAACCCAAACATAATATAGCCTTATGCAATTATGGAAAAGACTAGAATTAAGGCCATTCAAGCCTAAACATACTGGCGACTTAAAGTCAAAAGCCAGAGCGGGTTATCAAACCTCGCATATTTATATAACCAGGAAAATCATATGTATAGATTTGGTCATACTGTCAGCTTACATCGCCATATCCAATGATTTATAAGCGCATGATTCCAGTGACGCAATCCAAATTATACTGATGACTTAACGTCGAAAGCCAGGACAGGTTATCAAACCGTGCATATCATACCATTATTGAAAAACATATCTGGAGATTGACATCATGGTGATAACTCAATAATTATAATCCATCGTGGGTATTGACCCATAGGCATGCACTATCATGATTTTGATTGCTCAAGGCAAAGATATCCTCGCAACTTAACACCCTCTATCAGGACGGGTTATCAAACCCAAAGATTCTCAATGATGAGTCATATAATCAAGGCTACATGGCCTATGAAATTGGTTCACGCTATCGGCTTATCATGCCAGACGCAGCAAAGAGTAACAACACCAAAAAGGCCTTAGAGCCTAAACTCTAAGTCCACAATCATATCATACTGGCGACATATTGTCCAAAGCCAGGCCGGATTATCAAAAAAAACCGAGATATGCTGACATATGAGCCATGAGGATTAAGGCTACATGGCCTGAATCATTTCAAACCATATGTCAATATGCTACAAATATATCAATGCAAAAAATGTTCAAAGAAAATAACAAATCGGAAAAAACAAGGCTTTCATAGGCCGCCAAGCCCAAATCTCAAGTGCTTTCATGGGCCGCCAAGCCACTGAATTAACCTTTTACACCTTGTAAGTCGGGCCTCACATGACAAACCGCCGCTTAAACATTTACAAGTTCAGGGTCTATAAGATTGACTGTCCAGAGTTCGGCGGGTCATTCCAGGATTACCTGGGCGGAGTGGCAGACTCTACAAAGCAGGATAACCTGGAAATTTTGGTGAATACACATGGCATTCCAAGCAAATTAAAAGGTTATGTCCTCTTTGGTGAATACACCTATGTTTGAACAGGATAACCCGAAAACTTTGGTGAATACACCTGGTGTTCCAGGCCAGTCAAGAGGGTAGTAACTGTATGTTCTATTTGGGGAATACACCTACGTTTGAACAGGAAGCCCCCAAGTGATTTTTACAGCCCAGCCTATAAGCCGGATCAAAGGGTAGTCATAGCTATGCTCAATGAGCAGGAAGCCCCCAAGTAATTTGTAACAGGGTGTATAAGCCGGAACAAAGGGTAGTCACAACTATGCTCAATGAGAAGGAATCCCCCAAATGAGCAATCCTGTGATAAGACAATAAGGGAGGATACCCATGTTTGAGCCGTGCATCATGGCATCATGGCGGCGTGCGGTGCGGCCGTTGACCACACCGGTGGCACCGGCTCAACATGCGGCGGAAGGAGCAGCGGCTCGGTGACTCCAATGAGGCATGGGCGGAGGACCATGAAGGCAGGTCTAACGAAGGCAGCAGCGACGGTCGAGGGGCACCTGCTCATTGAGGTTAAAGCCTACATCTTGCTTCATTGATATTGAGGACGATGATCACGATTACAAGGGTGATGTATCTTGAGAGCTATAGACTTGTCTGTCTAACCCTAACTTGTCAAACTCATGAAACTTGTCCCTCTTGGGGTGCCCTGTCCCTCCTTATATAAGATGAAAGGGCGGGTTACATGACTAGTCCTAGTAGGATTAGGATTACCCAATTAGAAGTGGACTTCTAGTCTTCCTTCCTTTGTAAGGGCATATTCCTTATGCTTTCCTGTTAAGCCGTCCCGCCATAATTCAAGCCGGTCTTCCATGAGACGCCTTCTGGGCCACCGGGTCTTGTCACTCCTTTGACCCGCCTGTCGGGTCCCCGATGAGTCACTAGACCTGGCCGGGTCATATGTGAGTGGAGAGATCCAGGTGGGTCACTAGTGAGTCGCCAAGTCCGGCCGGGTCATACCGTGGGGTATATCCCCGACAATGGAGGCGAGCGGCATCCACCTCTCTCTCATACTCGTTCACCTCCACTTTAGTTATAAAATATGTCCCTCTAACCTGAAAGTTAAAGAAGGAAGGAGCAGGAAGAGTAATATGGACAGCACGCTGCCAATCAAAGATTAGTTGGTACAGGAGGGATTGCTCGTTCCTCAAAAGAAACTGATAGCGTACCAAAGCATTATAATCAAGAAAAGCGGGTGGTAACTCAATGTCAGTCTTCCTTATGGGTACCTCAATGTAATTAGCTAAATGGGTGGCATAAATTCCACCAAAGATATCTCCCTCTTTAGCATTAAGGTGTAACCTCCTCGCAACAATAGCCCCTAAATTATATCGTTTATCACCCAACACTGCACACTTGAGGACACTAAGGTCCCATGCACAAAGGTGTCTATGATCATGTTTACCATTAATCCATCTGCCTATGAAGAGAGCAAAATAATGTATGGCGGGAAAATGAATGCTCCCCATTGAGGCTTCTGTGATATTTCTAGTTTCCCCTATAGTGATGCTAGCAAGGAAATCATTGTATTCAGTTTTGCAAGGCTCACTAAGAATACCCCATTGTGGGATCTTGCCTGCATCACTAAAATGTTCTAAGTCCATGGTATATGATTTATCATAAAGATCAAACCGGACAGTATGAGTATTGCGCTGGGATGTAAATTTAAATCTTCGCACAAATGAATCAGTGAGGTGATAGTATTGTCGTCACTTATCTGACACGAAGTCGTCAAGGCCAACATTTTGTACGTATGCATCAAACTCATC